ATAACTTAAATATCCATCAAGTGATGAGTGAATAAAGAAAATGTGGTATATCCATACAATGGAATTTAACTTGGCTGTAGTGAGGAATGAAGTACTGATAAATGCTACAACAAAGATTAATCTTGAAAACAGTATGCTAAGTGAAAGAAGCTAGTCACCAAAGAGCACATATTATATGATTCCATTGATATGAAATGCCCAGAGTAGGCAAATACAAATTAGTGGTTGCCAGGGGCTGGGGTGGTGGGGGATGGGGAGTGGTGAGAGAGCAAGCCATATGGATGAGTGTTCTAGGCATTGGGAACAGCAAGTGCAAAGGCCCTGAGGCGGAAGGAAGCGTGGTCTAATCTATGAACAGCAAGGAGGCAGGTGTACCTTGAGGGGAACAGTGGAGGTAGATGAGGTCAGGAAGGGGGTATAGCAGGAAGGACAATTTACGGCCTTATGGGCCACTGTCAGGGCATTGGCTTTTACTTGGAGAGAGATGGGATGTCGCTGACAGTTTTGACCAAAGGAGGGTGTATCAGTCTTGTGTTTTTTTTACAGGGTACCTCTGGCAGGAGATGGACTATAAGGGGTAAGGTGGAAGCAGGGAGACCAGTTTGGAGGCTGCTCATTGGTTCAGGCAAGAGGTGACTCTGTTTTGGACAGGGGTGAGAGTAGTGGAGGTGGGAAGAGGTGTCCAATTCTGGATCTATTTTGAAAATAGAACTGACATCGTGCTTTTGGCCTGAGCAACTAGGAGATTGGAGTTGGATTTTATTGAGCTGAGGGAGACTGTGGGAGGGAGCAGGTACCCTTCTAGTCCTTGCTTACATATGGAAAGAAGTTATAACAGAGCATAGGCAACATTTTAAATTTTGACGTTTTTTATTTCCTGAACATTAAACCATAAATATTTACCAAGATGCTAAAGAATCTTCAAAATGATTGCTTTTAAGGGCTGTGCTGTAGTCCATTCAATTCATTGACCCTAAATTACTTAGCCATTTCCTTTATTAATCATTTAGACTTTTAAAAAAAATTATAGACAGTACTATAATGAATATCTTTGTGCTGATGGCTTTTTCTTTCTGCATTTTTTTCAAGAGGTAGATTCTCAGGAACAGATTTACTAGGTGAAGGAGTAAAATCATTTTTTGGCTCTTGGACACATTGCTAAACTATTTTCCAAAAAGATTAGGGCAATTTTTAAGGCCAGCCAAAACTTAAGAGTGTAGCAGATTTGTTATAAATTGGACAGTATATTGGTTCATTAGCTTATTTATATTTTCCAATAAAAGGGTAAAAAAGTATCTACTTTTAAAAATTTACATGCATTTGATTACAGTTAAGGTTTCAGCCTTAACTGTTTTAAGTTTCTTTGTGTGTCTTTAGCTGTGAATTGATGGTTCAGGTCCTTTGCCCATTTATTTACTAAAGTTCTAGTATTTTCCTTACCAATTTGTTGGATCTTTTCCTAAGATGGAGATAGGAGTGAATGCTTTGCCAATCATATTTTTAATAAAAATAATATTTTGGGGGAGGACGGTTAGCTTGCTTGGTTAGAGCATGGTGCTGATAACACCAAAGTCAAAGGTTCAGATCCCTATACAGGCCAGCCACCAAAACCAAAAAACCAAACAAAAATTCTGAATAAACTAGGGAAACTGTTGAAATGAATTTGTGTGCCTTTTGTAAAAAATTAAAAGAAACATTTGGTGAATAATTATATTCTGTTTTGATGATTTATTCATTTAAAAATTGCTATCTTGGTTTAAAGTTTTTTTTCTTAGAATGAAGCACACCTGGATTGGATAGTGTTGTAGTCACAGATAAGGGCCCACCTTCTAGATCCTTCTCCTGAGTGGTGAAGTTTTCCTACCAAACATGCCTTGCTGATAGTATCTCTGGCACTACACAGTGCAAGGGACAGGGACAGAGAGGCTTGTCTAGAGAAGAGTGACCTGCCTCTTGGAGGAACTCTAGATTGCATGTGAGGCATAGTAACTGGGAATTCTGGAGCGTGGGGGCTGACTCACAGAACAGATCCCAGCTCAGGGTGAGGTTGACCTCTCTCCCCCATGTCCCTCCAACCACCCGGGAGGCAAGGAGCACCTTGTGGGAGTTGAGCTGGGGAACCTCTGAGGTCCCTTTCAGTCCTGAGAACCTGAGGTTCTGAGGATGGACACTTTTCTGCCTCTATGTCTTTGCTGGCAGCATCCCTTCTCATGACTTCATCTCAGGCTGGGGACATTTTACCTCTTCAAGGACTGGTTCAAATGCCATCTCCATTGTGGAATCTTCCTGGTTACTCCCCCCGCACCCCACCCTTCATGTAGGAGACTTCTTCTGAGTTTCTCTCTCACGAGACCTAAGAGCAGGGCTGGGTCTTATTCATTTCTTTGTTCAGACAGTGCACTTGATAGGGACTCAGCTTGGGTAGTCTTGGTGAATTGGACCGCCTCAGAGGAAGGTTAGCAATTAGGAGGACTGCCTCAGCAAGCTTAGGAGGCTTCCTAGTGTGAATGCCCGCAATCCCCACTTACTAACTGTACCTCAGTTTCCTCGTAGGGTTGTTGTGAAGACTAAATGGATTTTGGACAAAGTCATTCTGTTACCAAACTCAGGTCCGGCTTCCTGCTCCTTTAAGAAGGAAAAAAGAAAAGATTCAGAAGTCAAATGGTTGGTGTTAGAAAAGCAGATGTATTCAGCTGAAGGAGATGATAGGCTATCCCATCTCAAAGATTTACATTTACTGAGGGGTTTTTAAAGGAGGGGTTGAGGGAGTGGAACATGGGAGGTGAAAAGCAGGAGAAGGAGATGTGAGTTACGAGGGGTCCATGTCTATGGGTCAGGTACTAGGCCTTGTTTGCTCTGGTGTACTTAGCTGGTGTCCAAGGTCAGCTTCCAGTCACTTGGCCTTGGTCATTTCTCAAAACTCTCCAAGTCTCAAAGAACTGTTAGCTTTGCAAAGTACTCATTAGCTTCTCAGACTTGTTTTCCTATTTAGCAACCAAGATGAGAAAGTCAGGGGATGGGAAGAAAGACAGTGGAGAGAAAAAACTGTCCTTTTTAAAATGACACCCCGCCTCCCCCCTGCCGTGCAGGCAGTTTTAGGTCCCATCATGACTTCAGTCCTGCTCACTCCAATAAATCAATGTTTATTTTATAATCACTGAGCAGCAAATATTCTTGGTATTCTAATTTCTGTTCCAGAAACAAAGATATAAGAGATCGTCTCTGGGCTTAAGGAATATCTTCTCAATGGTACACAGCAGGAGAGAACATGATCAGATTCCCAGAAGAGGTGAGAGCCAAGTGCTAGGGGGCTCTGAATAGGGAGAGAGGACACATGCGAGGGTCTTGGGGGGCTTCCCAAAGGAACTAACATCTGAGCTGAGTCTTGGCAAATGGCTGGAATTTCAACAGGTAGAAATGGGGCAAAAGGACATTCAGGCAGAGGGAATGGCATGAGCATGGGCACAGAGGAGTAAAATATGGGAAGCATTTGGGGACTGGCCAGCAGTCCTACTTGGCTGGCACTCCAGGTCTTTGGGACTGTAAGGAGTAGAGGAAAATAAGGCTGAAAAAAGACAGTGGTGAGAAGAGAACGCAAGGGAGAGCCAGGAGGTTTTAAAGCCAGGGTGAGCCCTGGTCAAAGTTGTGTCTGAAGAAGAGGACTGTGGAGAGAAAGGACTGGAAGGGTCAGGTCTGCGGGTGAGGAGGAGGTTGTAATAGTCGGGGCATGTGATGGTCAGGCCTGAAGGAGGGCAGGGGTGACAGTGGGGATGGGGTGGGGGGACTGTGCAAGAGTACTTCAGGGTGGGACTGCCAGGGCCTGATGAGGGGCAGGGGTTGATGAGAGCCCTCCTTCCTGACAAGGCCACAGACTTAGCTGCAATTTATTATTATTTATAATAATAAATTTATTATTTTATCTCATTACAGCCTTTGGCATCACTTCAACACACTCATCACCTTTCTGGGTGGGTGGGTACCTCTTTCCTGGATAAAACCCTTGCTAGATTGGGGGGTAGGATCCTGGTCTAAATCATCCTACCTCCTCTGACACCCAGGTAGGGGCCCATGGATCTGTAGGACCTCAGGGTTCTTTGTGATTGATGGGAAGAGAGTGAGGGGGAAGGTGAGTATGGATGATATATCCTCAAAGAACCCTTCCCTGGCCTCCATATTAGGTTAGAATCTGGTCGCCTGATTCTGCCTTGCCATATAGCTATTCACTCTTTTGCTTCGTGACACCTATCGCAGTTTTAATTAAGTATTTGTGTGATACTTGATTGAGGCCTGTCTTTCCTACTGGACCGTAAGCTCCAGCACTTACAACAGTGCCTGGCATCTAGCTGGCACTCAAAAATATTTGTAGAGCTATACAGACAGAGCTGTAAAGACAGATCCCAGTTGCCTGGGACTGAGGATGGGAGCGGGGATTGATTGTAAAAGGGACGAGGAACATTTCCTTATGTTCAAAAATTGGATCGTGGTGAGATGGTTGTGAAGCTGTTTACATTTACCAAAAATCACCAAACTGTACACTTATAGGGAGTGAATTTTGTGATATAGAAATTATACTTCAATAAAGCTGTTAAAAAGTAGAAATGAGTAAATTATCTGTCTCCCTCAAGATTGTAAACTCCGTGATGAGAGGAGCTACTTCCCCAAATCTGGAAGACTAATCGGCACCGGGAAGGAGCGGAACAAACACCCTACTAAACAGCGGATCAGTGAATGGAAGGGCACAGGGCGGAGGCTTCCCGGAGATCCCCGCCAGGCAGCTCGGCCGCAGCTCTGCGCTCGGCTGCAGCTCTGCGCTCCGCTCTGTGCGTCCCCGCGAGGCGAGCCCGGCGATTGGCCAGCGGAGACGACGGGGGTCCAGGGGCGGGGCCGGCAGCGGCGCGAAGAAATCCCGGGGCGGGGCCTCGAGGGCGGGGCTTACAAGGGGCGAAGCCACACGTGGGCGGGCTCCGGGTTCAGGCTACGCGCCTGCGCACTACTGTCGCGCCTGTCGCCACGGTGAGAGGAGTGGATGCGATGGCCGGGCCGGCGTGGATCTCTAAGGTGGGCGCTGGCGTGCCGGCGTGTGGCAGATTGGCGGGCAGCGAGGGCAGGCGGGCGAGCAGGCCGCGTGCTAGGCGATGGCGGGTGCGCGGGC